ATATATATATATATGTATATATACTTATATATATATATTTATATACATACATATATATATATATATATATACATATATATATATACATATATTATACATACATATATATATACATATATATACATATATATACATATATATATACACATATATATACATATCCACATATATATACATATATATATATATATACATACATATATATATACATACATACATATATATATACATACATACATATATATATATACATATATATATATATACATATAAATATATATATATACATATATATATATATATATTATATAAAGAAAAGAAGATTGTGGAACGTGACTAACACCCTAACGCCACATAGGCAACACCTAGCATCATGTGATCGATAACTTGACACCATGGTATCATTGACTTTGCTAGAATTACCTAAGTTGTGAGGAATCCTTTTATTATCAATACATAAAGGTTTAGCCTAATTACAACCTCGCTTTGATCCAGAAAGATCTGTAAAGAGCAAATTAATTAGTTCTATTGTTGCCTTGGTGTCGTTGATTGGAGAGTTAACACGGCCTAATTCGATCCCGAAGGCATAGATCCATCTTGGGGGCCTACGCTGGGGCGGATAAGGCTGCTCGTGGCAGGTGGACTCCTGAGACGTTGATGGCTCATGATAGCTAACTCTCGATTGTCCCGGGGTGTGACTTATTTGTTAGAGGAAGTTTGAGGTTGTCCCGAGGGATGCTCTAGCCTTCTCCTAAAGCACTTAGTGTCACCTCGAGGTGCTCATTAGATATGCCTAGGTCCTACATAAGCGGTCGACATCGGGAAGATGTCCCGACCTAACCTCTCCAATGCTCAAGTTAGTAGAGTAGATAGATGGAGTTTAGTATAGCTCAAAAGAGTTGAAATAGTCTGCTTGCCTCATCTAGTTTCAAGGCTATCTTTTATACTCGATTCATTGGTGGAGTGTCACAAATTGCTCATCCTCTCTCGAGCCAATCACGTGAGCGATGACATATGTGATACGATGCATACTTTTTTTGTTTATTATTTATTAGTATTTTTCTTACTTTATGTTGTTTGTTGCATATATTGTAATGTTCATGGATCTGTGCAATGAGAATTGGATCATGATGAGATCATGACAATGAGATTGATTCACCTTTAAACACAGATTATAAATAATCTTAGTCGTAGGTTACTCGAGAGGGACATCAAGATAACTGGACAGATTAGTGCATTGTATATTTGTCTATATGATGGAGGCGACTGATCTCATAGTTGTTAGAATCAAGTCAGCATTAAGAGGGGGGGTGAATTAGTGCTTACGATAAAAACGTCGATTTGAAAATTCTCGATGAAAATCGATTGGAAAGATGTTAACTTGAAATCACGTTTGTAAGTAAGCGTAATAAAAGTAGAAATTAGTTTGCAACGTGAGAATGAAAAGCAAAATAGAAATGCAAACCGGATTTATAGTGGTTCGGTCGTCGTGACCTACATGATTCCTCTTCACTCGAGGCCATCAGTTTCCACTACTGGTCTTCCTTCAATGGGCGAAGACCAACTACCCTCTTAAAACTCTTTCTTCTATTTATAGGTTCAGAAGGGAACCTTTACACTTCTCTCTTTTTCACTTAAACCCCACTTCTCCATTTAGAAGAACTTCTAAATACTAGGAAGAGGTGAAAAGATGTTTACAACTTTTTTTCATAATGATTATTTTCCTATTTTTCAACTCAATTTTATGCTTTGCCAAGCAGAAATATTTAAGATATTTATAGACCCTAAATAATTTAAAAAATAGAGTAAAAAAAGACCAAATGATTTAAAAAAAGTCCTGGCGAATATCAGGTTGAGTTCCTAATGTTGAGAGAAAAAAAAATCATAGAAACCAAGGCTTGAGAAGAGAGAAGAGAGAAACTTAAAAAAATATATATTACTTGAAAGTTTACATAACCCACGTAGTTTTTTTTTTTTTTTTTAACCCATGCTCCATCTCTCTCTTGACTTGGGGTGTGGTAAATATGGTACCAACTAATTTATAAACCTAAACCACAATGTCATAACCCTGATCAATAGTGAATTCCTAATTCAACTCAAAATCCTAATTTAATTATAATCAAAATTAAATTACATCTACATCATATCACCAACGAATCTTAGTCACTGAAATGTAGGGTCTAAGAGCACATTGAAAACCTAGTAGCCAATTTCAGTCTTACTCTTTAAAGTGCTCGTACATACATGCATAAGAGTAAACAGCACAAGTGGATGTGTGCACGCAAACTTGTTCAGATAAATGAAACGGATGGTAGCTAAAATTTGTGAATGAAACATTGGTCGGAGATACGAGTGGTTCTGGATGACCACTGAGAGTCTTGCTTTTTTTGAACTCGTAGTTAGTCGCCTCTTGAATCTCGCCACAATCACATACGACTTTTTATATGCATACAAAGGCAATACTGGCTTGGCATCCAAAAATGTACACGAGGACGCGTCGGATTGTTGCGTCTCCATGTGGTTTTGACGTGGCATCTCTATGTGGTGCTAAAATAAGAAGCGGAGCGAATGTGAACTTCGTGTGCATTCATAAACATATTTTATCAGTCTGTGAAGGGATGAAAGTAGGAGCTGCTTTCGGTTGTTATTTGGAAATAAAACCTCAAAATCCAACTTCGATACAAAAGCGTAGGCCGGTTTGGAGGCGTACAGCTTGTCGATGTCAATTTGGCTGCCAGCTTTGGCTGTGCAAGCATTCAAGTAAATCACACACACACACAGATGATACACTAAAGTTCTAAATGTGCCAAGGAGCGCTGCTTTCTTGCAGTAGAATATTGCTGCTGCTGCTGCTGCTGCTGCTGCGGCTGCTGGGTAAAAAAAGCCCTGGATAATTCGCGGCCTGCGCACGTCAGAGCGCACGATGGTGAAGGACATTGGAGGGACCACTTGTCTGCGTCAGCCGGCCGACCATCCGTTAACCTATTCTTTCTTTTCGCATTAAAAGAAAAAGGAAAAGACAAATAATAATAATAATAATTATTATTATTATTATTATTAAGCCAAGTTGTAGCGCTCCTCTGTCTCCCTCGTTCCTTCTTCCTCTCGCAAAGTAATGGACGAACACAGCAGCCGCGCTTCAGCCTTCTGTTGGTAAGTTTCTGACATAACTCTATCTCTAATGTTAGATTCGTATCATATACCATCAAAACGAAAGATACAAACACACTTTTGCACAATTCTTTCATGCCTTGGCGTAATTGTTCTATAAAATTTTCTGCCTCTGCAAGTCAGGAGCATTCTTGTTTTTTTCGATTTCCTTCGTTTTTCAGTTTTTTATCGTATATGTTTCGCGTGCAGATGATGGTAGCAATTTTCGATGAATGTGATCCGGGATTTTTTTGCCGTGATTGGGGTGTGGATAATAATATATATCGGTGGCCCAAAATTTGCCACAAGGAACTGAAATTAATCTGATCTGCTTCCTTACCATTATTGTCCTATTTTGTAGCCGAGCTAATCAAATCAGAAAGGGTAGAATTAAAATTATCCGTCCAGAGATCGTACTTACCTGTCACGATACAGAGTAGATTGGGCCTCTAACGGGACAGACAATATAGTGCAAAGGAAATGCTTCCTTTTATGCTACCAGGCAAGATTTCTGAGACTCCGACCTCTAACATAAGTTCTTCATCCCCATCCAATAATTTTTTTTTTCTCGAAAGCAAAGCAAATTATATTAGCTAAATTGTAAAGTTTCAAAAAGAGCTCTATAGATAAGAGCACAAAAAACTAACCAGCCGTAAGGGTCGATCTCCTTTTCAAAAAATTATATCTTGATTAGTCTGGCATAAAAAAACTAACCATAAAAATAAATAAATAAATCAAAACACTAAGTACATGCTAGGTTCATTCCCATCCGATAGATTTTTATTTAGTGCTTTTTATTTGTGCCTCCATACATCAGTTTAATAATAATCTTTTTTCGTTTCTTTCTCTTATTTTTTTTTACTTTAATCTTATGATTAAAATTTAGTCTATAGGAAGATCATACTTTTTTGTTCAATCTAAAACGAGTAATGTGGTGGGGAAAACCACATATGTTGTACCTCCTGTGTTGTTTTCACAAAACAGTTTCTACAGTTTGCAACCCAGTGAATTGTCCCGTCAACTCTAGGCCACAAGTTTTACTTACTTTATTATTATTATTATTGTTTTTCTCGTTCAGAGGGTTCCCTTTTAGTTCATTATGAGCAGCTTTTCTTTTTCTCAAGGAAAAAAAATTATATACTTCAGCTCAGCGTTAGATGATAATTTTCAGAGTAAAAAAGCTCTGCATAAATAGTGAAAACTTCACAGTTTTCCCGACTAATCCCCAAATCTATCCACTTTTGCAGTGAATGAATGACATACTAAGGATTGTACCTATTCCACCAATAATTAGAATGAAAAAAGCATCGCGCTCGCCAGATTTATAAGCAAACAGGAGGATTCCCTCAGCTGTCGACCATCCAGTGTTGCATTTGATTGCCATACTTCCAAGTGCTCCCACCACTATGCTCTGATCCCAGTTATAATATTCTTCTCTTTTCCGCCGCAGGACAGCAACGCCATTTAGGCAAAGCATTCTCGACATGAAAGCCCAGAACCACCGCTCCCACCATCACTCGGCCGACGCCGACTCAGCCGCAGCGGGTTCCACCGCCTCCGCCCCACGAGCTGCAGAGGGCCACGTGCCTCACCAAGACAACCATATTCCACACCATCTTCCGCCCGCCAGGTGGCACCCCGACGACCCTTCGGCCGCTCTTGTCCGCCTCATGTGCAGCTACGGCGGTCGTATCCTCCCCCGCCCCCACGACAACCAACTCCGCTACGTCGGCGGTGAGACCCGCATCGTCGCCGTTCCCCGCTCCGCCTCCTTCGCTGCTCTCCTCTCCCGGCTCTCCAAGTTCCTCCCTGCCGCCGCCGTTCAGCCCCCGTGCCTCAAGTACCAGCTCCCCCACGAGGACCTCGACGCCCTCGTTTCCCTCACCTCAGATGAGGACATTGAGAGCATGTTCGACGAGTACGACCGTCTCGCTTCCGCCAACGTTCGAGCCCCCCGTCTTCGCCTGTTCCTCTTCCCCCCACCTTCCGTAGCCTTCGGCTCCGTCGTCGACGCCCCGGGCTCGACCCGTGACCAGTGGTTTGTCGATGCCCTCAACGGCCAAGGAGCCGGTGCGGCATGTGGCCCGCCGTCCCTCGAGCGCGGCCGCTCAGAGGCGTCCTCCATCGTCTCCGAGGTCCCTGATTACCTCTTCGGCCTCGACACCAACTCGCCGCCTGCCAAACCCGTGGTTCAACCGGCCTCTTCGGAGCCGGGCTCGCCCTTCTCCGCCTCATCTCAGCTGTCGGTTCCCCCAATCCCCGATCTCCCACCCGTCAAAACCAAGCTGCACGTGGAGGAAACCGGGTTCAACACGGTCGAACCGATTGCGACGGAGCAGGCCGGATTGGTACCTAACCCGGTCCTATCGTATGCCCCTGAGCCGGTCCCGGTTTTCTACATGCCGCCATCTGTCCATGGCGGGAGCTTAACGATGCAACAGCTTCCAATTCCGGTCCAATACATGCCTCCGCTCCGTGCCGTGGCTGACAGTCAGCTTCCGTTGGGCTTCCAGCCATCGTTCCCGGTGGTGGCAGCCAAGCCAATCAAAGGCGCTCCGGTTTACGTGGGTGGCACGACAGACACAATGAACCTGGTTCCATAAAGGTAGAACAGTTTGCGGGAGCGTGGTTTATGCGTTGTTAATTTGAATTATTTGGACTATACCAGTTCTTGAATTCGTCGTGTTGTTGTATTTGGGGATTGCATCGTTTGCGAGTTGCTATATACGATCTGTCTGACGAATTGTGTGTATATTATGAATTGATGTCTTTAAGCCAAAAAAAATCAATTTTTTTCTGGCAAATAAAATTAATAAAAAACATAGGAATACCTGATTGGTGATTAAATTGGTAACTATCTTAGATCAATTCGGACTTTAACCTGACGAGATGAGTAATGATCGAATTCAATCGATCGATCAAAAGAATAACTTACCTTCACGAATTCAAAATAGGAAGTAAAGATCTTAAAAAAGAGTGCATGAATGGTTTCTAATAAATTACGAAAGATACTATAGTATTCACACAATTCAATTAGATCTATTTGGTCACAAGGTAAATTGAAGATACAAATTGAGTTTACACGTATCTTTTATCATCTAATTCGATGGAAAGATTGCAAGCTTTATGGAAAATAGTTGATTGAAATCCATAGAGATTGAGATAATTGGTGACGGCGGCACTGCTCTCACACTCACCGATGCGCTCTTTTCGATCCACTTCGCTACCTTGTGTTCCATCATCTATTCTTATCTATTCACAAAAGTCTATTTTCACTGCAAGTTGTAAACACATCACGGTTTCCTCTGTTGCATGATCCGAATGCTGGAGGATTAGGGAGGGACTCCAAAGAACTTAGCAGAAAGGAGCGATGATGTCATATAAATCCAAAGAACAATTTCCACTTGCCCTTGGACTGTGCTTACGTTGATTCATGACATAATCATCCTTCCAAATGACCTAGGATGCTTTCAGCCCTTCCCACCTCGGTGCTAGAGATCCCCTTCAAATGGCCGAGAAGGGCACCGACTAATGTTTGTAGAGATCCTAAACGAAACCATGTCGATACTTCTTGCATGTTGGTTCCCCTATGCCAGATTGCTTGTTGTCTGTTGCCTCAAACGCATTGGCCCATGATAGAAGATAAGATTTTCCCATGAGGAAATCATCCTTTCTCCTAATCTGTATAAATAGAAGAGGGAACATGTTAATGTATTGAAGCATTTTTCATTTCTTCACTAAAGTTTTTCACTTCTTCAATAAAGTTTCTTCAGTAATTGTTCTTATCTTCTATTTATTTTATCAGCTCATAGGTGAGTGCCTGAGGGTTCAAGGAAGCTAGTGTCTTGAGGACTGCCTCTTTGACCCATGGAGGTGGTGGGGGTAGAAGAGCTCATCGTGGTCGAGGTGAAGGGGATTGGACCCCTTTAGGTGGATGCTATTGCTCTCCTCTTCTTTAGCTCCCTAAGATTCATGCCTTTAAAGAAGAAAGGCACTAAGTGTCGCATTGAGAAAAAAAATTAAGGAAAATAAGACTTCAGGGATGGAGTATACCTCGAGATGTCAAGCTCAAACTAGCATTGACTAGCCAGTTTTCGTCCATGTGTTTGTTGGGTAAGGAAGATTGACGAGACATTTTCCCATCAAAGCACCTAACCTTTCTCCTCGCAATCAGGAAAAATGGAGTATTGGTAAGATTATATACCAACCAATCCATAATGAAGCCATAGTCTAGGCCAATCTTGTTACAAGAAGTATGGTCCCTTCTAACGTTGGTTGGAAGTTAAGGCCCATTTTACCTTAAATCCATCTTGAGCCATGAGATAATAGATTTTGGCTCTCTTGCAAGTTCAGAAACATAAGTGGAACATATTTAGGAGTGACGTTGATATAGTAGCATTCCCTAATGAAGGATAGTGATATCTTATACTATCGAACGCATGAGTTGGGCACCATATGAGATGGTAATATCATACACCATCAAAGACATCTAAACTCGGCCTCCAATATATTATACGATTCATATGAACATTTTTAATCTCAAGATACCTACATCTAATACTCAACCGGGATGAAGTACTTGAGGTGCAAAGGGCTCAGATACTTAAGAGTCAGAACGAAGTCTTAGTTATATACATCTTTCATGAAGATCTTTGATAACCTTTGGATCCACTTTGGCTACCTCTCTTGAGAAGGATAACACACTCATTCCTATTCCGAGGCTCTCCCGAGGATAGGACTTTGACCCCCTTGATCATATGTTGGCTAAGGGAGTAGGACTCGAACGATAAGGAAGAAGATATCTTCCCAACTTGACTAAGGAGGAGAACAAGAGACGATGCTTCAAAGCTCTAAGAGGCTATGAGCAGGGACAAAAAGCTCTGAAAAGACAAGGGAAGACTTATGAAGCAAAGTGAGCCCCACAACCATGGAGGTGGCCCCTTATAGCACTAGACCACAACCTCGACTTCTAGGAGTCTTATCACTGCACTTCTAAACCGTGGTGATATAATCATCATAAAAAAGACAAGGGCCTAATCAATAATTCAACCATATATATATTAATCCAATATAAAATATCAAAAAAATATTTCACCTATACCATTAAATATGCCTCCCACTTAAATTCATTATAAAAAAATCTACCACACCATAGTAATCAAAGTCAATTACTATTTACTCAAAATTCTCGTTTTATATTTCGAGACTAATTAGAGCATTGAAGAAACTAAGTCGGGATGCTCACCTCGATCTTCGTTGTGCAAGTCGACATCGAATCGAGCTTTCGAGGCCCTCTCAGCTCCATACAGGATTTTTGCACATAAATTGGGTTGATCCAGACATCATTGTCCACTAAATACAAGTAGTTATACATTTCATCCATAAAAGTCCCTTAGATGCATCCACTTAAAACTCTCAATATAAATTACAATTAGCTACTTTATCAAATAGGCTTCTGACAAAGTTTAGGTTTTAGGGTTAAGGTTAGACCATCAGCTCTCCACGTCATATGTAAAATAGCACCCATTTTTTTCACAAGTTAAGTTAGAAAAGAAGTTTGCAGGTCATGAGCGCTCCAATCTCCTGGATTAGCACTCTCAAAACACCTCATTATCGAACTCGGAAGCTTGAACAAAATAAAACCAACAGCCAGTTGGGTTGGACAACATTCATACTCTAGAGCCGCTGTTTATGAAGAGAAGAAGCTTTTAGGATGTGTTTCTTTTTGACTCATATAAGAGTCCTTGCCTGTGCAAAGCTAGCTGAAAAATGAACCAGCAGTAGCAACCTTTGCTACCTATCGATGACAAGAACATACCGGGAAATATGCGTCAAAAAATGAAAAACGACTAAAGAAGCGTGTAAAGCTAAAAAGAAGAGTTCAAAAAAAAAAAAAAGGTATGAGATGAGGCTTTAGAGCCAAAGAATATTAGACACGTGTCGCTCGACTAAAAGGCTTGCCTGCTACGACAACGATGCCTCTGTACACAACACCACTATTCCTGAAGCTCAGCATGACTCCGGGCAAGCCACATGTTGCTGGACTCCGTTAGCAGGCGTTCTGAGGGCCAGTAGTAGGAGGATTAAGCCCCCCCCCCCGTATGTGTCGGCCATCTCTGATGAATGTGCATGCTCGCCTGCGCGCTTGGGATATAAAAAGAAGGACGAGACCGGTGTTAGAGGGTGGGACATTCCAAATGTTTCAGTACTCCACCACCCTTCAGAAGCCAATAATAAAACTTACCGCTACACTTGTTTAATTCACTATCGACCTTCCAACAGTGTGACCGACAAGCTGTTTCTGGTTGACGAGGAGTCGTGATTGGTCGTTGATGAACCAGTTTCGGGTGGGGCTCTGGCAACAACAAAACCCGGTTGTTGAGGTTGTGGTAGCTCACCGTCACTGTTCAACATTATCACCACCGACGACATCGTCGGCCTGTCTTCGGGTCGTTCTTGAACACACAGAAGCCCCACCGTTATGCACCTCAAGACCTCAGCCAGGGAACACGAATGGCCAATCGATCCATCAACTAATTCCGAGCCTTTCCCTTCTTTCCATAGGCTCCATATCTGAAAACAATTGCAAAAAGCAAGCCAGGTGATTATGAAGCAGCACACAAGTCCATTCCATGTAAAGAGGGCCAATGTTCCACGATGCTTACATATCCTAGAAGATTCAGGTGACTTGCAGAGTGATAAATCACCCCCCTGTTCTTTTTACCGCTAACGATTTCAAGTAGCAAAACACCAAAACTGAATACATCCGATTTAACCGAGAAGATTCCGTCCATAGCGTACTCAGGGGACATGTATCCGCTGCAATATCGGTAGCAAGTTGATAGCAAACATGATTAACAATCATATCAAATGCACAACATAATGATGACCGGAGCAGATACTTACTATGTTCCCACCACTCTTCGCGTATTCGCTTCTGTTTCATCCCCTCCGAAAACCCTTGCCATGCCAAAATCTGATATTTTGGGGTTCATATCCTTGTCAAGAAGAATGTTACTAGCTTTGAGATCCCTATGAATGATTCTAAACCTAGAATCTTGATGGAGATAAAGAAGGCCTCGAGCAATCCCCACTATGATGTTGCGTCGTGTTTGCCAGTCCAGCGATATATCTTCAGATTTATCTGAGCATAAGTTTGAGCAGCATTAGACTTCATGGATCTCATGATATTTATGTAGCATTTTGTTGCCCTGATTCAACCGTGTGGTTATACTAGTTTATTTGCAGAGTGACCTTTCATGTCAGAAAGCTACAGCACGGAAAGGTGTCTACTGACGGAACTCTCTTGACTAAATACTACAGAAGAGTAGAGGCAATCAATCGATCAATCCATCTTGTGACGTGGAGTGCCATGAGAATGAGAAAGATGGAACTAACCAAACAGGAAGGCATCCAAGCTTCGGTTGGGCATATACTCGTAGATCAGCATCCGTTCCCCTGCTTGAATGCAGCATCCAAGAAGCCGAACAAGGTTTCGGTGCTGCAGCTTTGCAGTCAGCATTACCTCATTTTTGAACTCCTCCAGTCCCTGCATCGATGTCTTCGATAACCTCTTCACAGCTATATCTTGCTCCCCGCCCAGCTTGCCCTGCAGTCACCACAATCGCTGTCCAAAAGTTTACCATGATGTCTAGCCAACTAAAAGCGTTCATCGAAATCAAATTTCTGAACTGTAACTAACTGTCACAGTTTGTCATTACCTTGAACACCGGACCGTATCCACCTTCGCCG